TGTGTGTGTGTGAGTGAGTAAGACAGACAAAGGGAGAAAGACCTGTTTCTCTGCTTTCACTACTGAGTCCCTCCTCTCCGTGTCTCTTCCTCATGTGGACGTTTCTGCTGCCCGACTGAGAAAAAGTCTTCCCACAGATCCCACACACATGAGGCTTCTCACCTGGGAAGAACGCACACAGACACCAAGCAAAACTTTATTCTTCTTCTGAACTGCTGCAGGACGCCGTCTACAAGGCGCACTGCTTTACACTTTATCTGTAGCGCACTAATTACAAAGGAGCGCACTGCTGCGCAGCTGTGAACTTGTCCCACTCACCAGAATGCACGAGCATGTGTTTTCGTAGACTGGAATACTCTGCAAAGGATCGCCCACAGCCATCTGCTTCACACAGAAAAGGCTTCTCTCCTGAAAGCAGCCACCCACCACAAATATACATATTGTTTACCCCCGCATTACAAAGCCCCAATTAAACTCTTATTTTTGCAGAAAGTATCAGATGCGGATGCGTTCAAAGGGATGCGTTGAATGGCCCCGACGCACTGGAAATTACAATAAACTGCAGCTTTGTTGTTGTCGTTTCTGAAAGCCGCGATGACCAAAATAACCCAGATAAGTCAGCTACGGCTCATTCTTCCAGATATACAGGCGGAAACTAAGCACAGGTCACCTAACTGACTGTGGAGCACGCCATCAGAAACCTTAATGCCACCCTAAATAAAATATGACAGAGTAGTGTTACTGATTGCAGCAGTAAAACGGAGGAGCCAGTGCTGCTGACTCTTCAAATCTCCAGCATTGACTCTGCAAAGGAAGCATTAAATGAGCAGAGTCAAATGGCCTTAGTTAGTTATTGCTTCCAGAACATTTGGGCTTTTAAACGCAGGGATCCGTCCTGCTTTCCCCACCTGTGTGTGTGCGTCTGTGGTTCTTCAAGTTTCCAGCAGTGGTGAACCTCTTGCCACAGTTCGTCTCCTTGCAAATGAAGGGCTTCTCGCCGTTGTGAGTCCTCATGTGAACCTGCAGCCTCTGCAGCACGTAGAAACTCTTCCCGCAGCCTTCTGCGCCGCACCTGAACATCCGGTCATTCCTGCGAGCCGAGATAAGATGACAAACAAACCTCGACGTCTCTCGTGCACATGCTTCGTTGGTTAAAGCTCGCCACAAGGTCAGACGGGGTAGCCTCAAACAGATCTGCTACGCTGGTACTAACAGAGCTCCTGCCATACAGCTGGAGAAACTCCTGTTGCACAGCAGTGCTTTCTGCTCCCTGCCTCCCCAACAAATAAAGCAGCAACCTTTTCCCGAGCTGCCATTACTCCTTTCATTGTGGCTGTAAAACACCTGTGCAGTTTAAAGCCAACACCTCCAGCTTACATTTTACAACTGCTGAACAAGCCTAGTGCCTTTTGTACTCGAAAAACATCACACAGAATAGCTTGAAGACCGAGCTCACCCTGCCCTTGAGGGTACTTCAGGAGGGCAGAACGTGTCTGGACAGCAGCCTGTTACACATCTTACACCAAATCTTATACTAGAACATGAAGATTAAAGTTGCAGGAACCAAAGACGCTCAGGAGGACTTGATTGCTCACCATTACAACTTAAAAATAACACTAATTTCTGGCATTACATAGCTCAACAAATAACCAAGATACCATGATACACACAAATTTGTTCTTTTCTGCACTTTTGTTGGGCTCTAGCTTACTTTGTGGTGTCTACATCAGCTGCTTGAATCTTTTTGTCTGACTTGCATCTATACTTTACAGATATTACAGGCATGTAATTTTCTAATATCACATTTCACAGTTGGTGCACGCGTTCCTGTGTGTAATGAAATGTGTACACCAACAACCCTGTAGTATTTTCTAATTTGAAAAATGCGTCCACATTATCAGAATTTGCACACTTCAGCAACATCCCCTATGCTTGAACCACTGCTGGATAAGGCACAACCCCCCCCCCGTGCTGTCCGTGCGATGCGTTACCTGTGTGTTTTGAGGTGATATTTGAAATGAGCGGGCCAGGTGAAGGTCTTGCAGCAGCCCTCAAACGAGCAGCGCATCTGCTTGGAGAGGGGGCGGCTCGTTCTGGAAGAAAGGTCTCGTTTGTCCCCGTCTGCTATCAGACTGTGTGTGTGGTCACCTAGGCAACCGGGAGAGGAAAGTGAGCGAGGTGATGCGGTAAACAATCCAGCAGCGAGAGTGTCCCCGGCCTCTGGAGCATACCTCTATAAAAGCTAATCACCGGTTACTGACTGAGACTTGCAACCAAAACAAAACTCAGAGATGAATGAAATCAGTCCCATTTAACCCGACCACGCTCCACGCTTATCTGCTGCAGTTTAGTTTGTGCTGGTGTCTGCTGGAAAGCACCTGTAACTGATATCCTGCTGCTGAAAGAAACTAATCTAATCTGATGGAAGTTAGATTTAGATGCAGTAGGTTCAGAGCCCCTGTGCTGCCATCCTGCATCACAAACCTCCACTACACTCAGTGATTTTGCACTTCTCCCCTCCCAACTGAGTACTGTGGATCAAACTACCCCCATATGTCTGATAAACCCCCCGCTTGACTTTGACTTCTGCCCAGCAGACAGCTGGAGAAACTCCTGTTGCTATCAGCCTCAAAGATCCGAGGACATGCGCTAGCCAGCTGTCCCTGATCCTGAGTCACATTTACAGCCAGAATCTGAAGCAGAAGAAGAAACCAGTGTTGTGCAACACGCTGCCTGCTTCCTGTACTGATCAATTAGCAGCTTGAAGACCCCGGCATTAGGTGATGAAGGTGCCAAAGCAATTAATCTTGCTGAGGATCTGTCAATCCAAAGAAGGGGAGGGTGGCCTTGAAGGGCTTGTTTCACACGGCTGAATTACTAGCTGCTCTCGCTTGATCTTGATACAGATACAACAAAGTCAAAGATAACTGTGCTGAGAAATGTCAGCTGTATTAAAAGAGTGTATCTGACTATGTGAAAATGTGTAAGTAAAGAAGAATGCACAGAGTAACATAACCACTTTTAAGAGACAAAGTGCAGATTTTAAGACACTTCACAGCTTTTCCATTTTACCTGAAAATCTATTTTCAACACAAAAAAAAACAACACAGCACAAACAATAATGCCTTCTCGTTACCACTTGATTTGTTTGTGCACATCATCACAAACATGTAAAATAATCCCGGTCAGGTCAAGATGGGAGGAAACAAACCCGGGGCTGGGCAGAGATACGAAGTAAACTTCTTACACTCCCATATCACTTTTCAACACTACAGTAAGATAAGATAAACGTGTGGACGGACGCCGCTAAATAAGCAACAGGTCGAGACGTCACGCGGGAGAGGACGGTAAACAAGTCGACGATCAAAGCAGTTTGAGCTTGCGAGACCCGGACGAGCGTTTAATAGCTATTTAGAGATTTTTCTAAGTGTAGCGTCGCATTACTTTCAAACAGATGGTAGAAAGTTGAAAAGAAGAGGGGAAACATGAGGCTACAGCCAGCAGCTGTTGTCACACTGGATTCTGTGACCGCTGAGACTCAAAGGCCACCGCAGTCTTATTTATGACAGCTTAACGAATGCTGTATTGAAAAGGAGTTGATGAATATACAGTAACAAGTTTTGGTTAACAGCTATTAAACTATTTCCAGGCTATAACCACACTTGCTGGCAGATTTACACTTTTCTGAACCAGGTTCAACAAATAAGATCTAATCTGTGAAGCATCGAGCCTCCGTCCCTCCCACTTCTTCTCTTTGTGCACATCTAAGTGGCTCCTGTTCTTCGCTTATATTTACTGTGCAGACATGAGTGATATCGATTTACTTATATAACTCTCGGCAATAAAGCAAACACGATATTTCAGAACCATCAGCTATTTTTATTTTCTGCAATATAACATCTTCCTAATGGCTTGATCGCACGTGTGTCCCCAGGCCCGACCTCCTGCCACCCCACATTTTTACTAAATCATCAGCGACATAACACAACCACAGGCGCTGGATTCTGATCACCGCTTCGTTATATTGTGACATTTACAGCTCTACTAAATATCTGCCGTCGCACTCGTACATCAGTCAAAGACAAAGCTACAAATTCCTTTTGATCGGGAGACTCGAGAGGAGAATTTTGGGACCCAGTTTTAGTCAGAGTTGATTACACCACGTTTTCATCTCTTCGCTGACCTCATTTCTCTTCTGTCTTTGATCCCTGCTACCAAAATATACGCCGCTTCCTCTACACAGCCGTTACGTCTTGGTTTTTTCCCCCCAGTTTTATTCTCAAACCTGATATTAAATCCCAAATAGCTGCCTACAGAGCACACGCCAGTAGCAGCGCTCACATCCAATGAGTGTTGTTTTAATATTGTTTCAAAAAGAGCATATTTGACATAACTTTAAGGTGTAAAAGATCCCTGGAAGAATTCTTTACCGTTCGTGACACTTGCAGCTCTGGCGTCCTGGCTGGCCTTGGCATCCTTCGCTAGCTGAGCCCGTGTGGCGGCGATCAAGCTGTCATGTGCCAGCTCTTGTACCCGCAGATACCAGGGAGCGCTGCCATCTATTCCGTAGTCCCCCGATGGGACCCCCTCATCTTCATCATCCCCGGCGCCATCTGCGGCGAAGATCAGGGACTCTGAGGAGGCTGTAATGCCTGACAGGGGGGGAAAAAAAAAGAAAAGGGTCGGGATGAGAGTAACTGAAATAGAAGACAGCTGCAGTATATCTCTGAGGCGCTCTAGGTCACTTCTATTTATTTATTATCGTTCTTTCAATGCTGCTCGGCAAGCGGGAGGAAGTTTTCAACAGACCCCCAAAGAGAAATATAAGAAAACATGACAATCCTTTCTTCAGGGACTGATTACATTTAATAAACAAGTAATTCTGTCCAGTGAAAGGTCTCTCCATCACGTCTCACTGAATCACAGAACACAGCGCGCTGCACAAAAGGTGTATGTGAGGAGACCAAAATTAATTTTTTGACTCTCCTGCCAAGGCCCGATGAACCAAGAGAATGTGCCTGCCAAGGCTCATTTCTTCAAGCCAAAATATTTTTTCTTTTTTGAATGAAAAATGTGTCACCCCGTTTCTTTTTGGCGCTGTGTGGGGAATTTGGAAGACAGAAAGTGCAGACACAAGACGGGATTTCGACTTTTTATATGAAACTTTGCTTGTCAATTAACAGTAATATTACTTTTTTTTTTTTATATAGAAAGCAAATGTTAGAAGATACACACTGATTGGACACTTTATTAGGTACACCTTGTTGGACCCACTTTTTGATTCAGATCTGTCTTAATTCTTCATGGCACAGATTCATTAAATCGTTGGAAACGATTTTGGTCCATATTGACATGACAGCATCGCACAGCTTCTGCAGATTACAATTCTCCTGTTCGACCACATCCCAGCGATGCTCTGCTGGTTTGAGAGATGGTGACTGTGGAGGTCATTCGAGTACAG